AAATAGAATTATTAATGATATTATATCAAAAAACTGATTTATCATGTTTTAAAAATGTTATAAACGATCACAAAAAAGACAGATAACATCGTAAACATAAGAGAGAATTGCTAATAGAATATGAAAACTTAATTGTTTAATTATTAAGGTTATTTATATAGCATACAAAGTGGAAATAAAAACTTATAAACACATAAATAATTTAAAACTAATTGAAGTATTGTTATTTAATTTTTATTTAAAATATTTGAACAGTCTTTTTAAATTAATATTAGTACCAAATTGTTACTAACAACACATTGGCTTATATGCCATATATATAAGTCATATGACATATTTTATCCAACTATTGCGCCGAAAGATACGTACCTGCAGACAATTTCTTTTGCGCTTGGACCCGCAGCGAGAAAAATTGTTAAGAGAAATTTTCCTGACTTTAAGTGACGTTGATGTACGAGCGTAACCAAGAGAACGCCTGCAAGAATGTCAGATTCCTTTATTCCTCGCGAAAAGCAGAGAAACCAACACTCCAACCGGGTAGCGCGATTACGCAATTAAAAAGTATGAATTATTAAGTTGCGCGTAATTTCGATATAAACTCAAATTCAAAAGATTCAGACACATACGAAATATATACATACATCTCTGAATAAAAATGGATACGAAAAATGTGTGTGTGTGTGTGTGTGTGTGTGTGTGTGTGTGTGTGTGTGTGTGAGAGAGAGAAGAGGGATTGCCAGTATATAATTAAATGTAAATCGTAATTTTATAAGTTCTTAGTTTGCTCTCGTAATGGTATATAATATAAGAACAATGAAATATAAATTGTAACATTCTGTAACAGACTTCCTGGTTGAGTCAGTCGAATCTGGTAATTATTCTTTCTTTAATTGTGCACTAATTATCTCGAAGTAATACCTGTTTCATACGATGGGGATCACAGCCTATAATTCGATTTATACATCGAACCGCGTCTGGTAATTAAAAGCATTGTCAGAGCGGAATACACGAACAAAAGGAACAGATATGTCGAGGAAAAAGACGTTCTTGTTTAAGTTCAACCAATAATTTTTTGGCGATTAGTCGCTAGTGAAATCTTAATGCAACGTAACTTACATTGCATTAATTATGATGTGCAATTAGCATGATGGAATGAGATAATTATAAGAATTGAGATAATTGAGCAATAATTATCTCTGACGAATTATATAATGTAAAAAAAAATAATATTAGGTGTAGTAAAAAGAAATCCATTATTTTTCCAT